GTGCTGGGCCCTCTACAAGGAGCGTACCAGCCGTATCCTTTGGCGCTCCTCCCAACGACCAGATGTCGATTGCTGCATCGGAGGGTGAGCCTGAGCTTTCTGGAGAGGAAGATTCGGCTGCGCTGCTCTCCTCCAGGACTGTAGCAATGCCTGAATCGGATCCAGAAATAATGGCTATGCTTTCCCGGGCCGCCGTAGGGGTAGGGCTCGAGTGGAGACTTCCACCCTGATTGGTTCTTGGGGTGGTCAGCGCTGGTTCTCAGAGCCCCGCCTTTCTTCCCGGAGGTGCATGTGGAGCTCAACAGGTTGTGGACGGCACCTTTTTACTGCCGGAAACCGATCTGCTGGTTCCTCCTCCCTCCCCACCCTCGATGGTGGGCCAGCTAGGGGGTTACAAGGGTCCGCCCGGTGGAGCAGTCGGTTGCGATGCAGTTGTGTCCTAATACCGCCTCCAACCGGCAGGGAGAACCGTGTCTCCCCTCCCGGGTCTGTAGGTACTCGACTGGCCAGCGATGCTTATATGACCTGTGGAGAAGCTTCCTCCGCCCTTACACGCTACAGCGTGATTGCAAGTGCCCCAGGCCAAGGCACTGAGGGACTTGCACGAGGGTGGTCACGACCCGGAAGTTTGCAGAGAACTCTGCACCGCGGCGGACCTCGTGCTACAAGCAACGAAGGTTATGGTGCGGTCTCTGGGTTGTGCAATGTCCACTATGGTGGTCCAGGAGCGCCATTTCTGTCTGTGACTGGCTGACATGCGCGAGACGGACAAGACACGATTCTTGAACGCCCCTGTGTCCCAGGCCGGCCTTTTCGGCGACACGGTGGAGAACTTGCCCAGCAGTTCTCCGCTGGCCAAAGCAGACAGAGGCCATCAGGTACATCCTGCACCGGCGTGCAGCTGCTGCCGTCGCCGAGGGCAGTCCCCCTGCCACCGCCAAGCCGCTCCTGCGGCCTCCAGCAAAGCTGCGCCGTGGAGCCAGTCGCAGGGCAGCCGTCCAGGCCCCCGCCAAACCTGGTGGCAAGCGA